GAGCCAGGCGCGAGGGGGAGGAGGAGGAGGAGGAGGGCGAGGTTTGTGAGAGCGAGCGAGGCCGCGCGGGCGGCCGGCGGTTCGTATTACCCGGGTCGCGCGGCCAGCACTGGGCCGGTGGGCGGCGCGCAGGAGGCGGGGGCTGTCTGGGCCGCGCGGAGGCAGCGGGAGCCGGGGCCGCAGAAGGCGGGCGGGGGGCTTGGCAGTCTCTTCTTCCAAAGAGGCCTCTCTACTCCCTCGGCAGCCTCCGCCGGGCCCAGGTAGTCGGGCCTCACCTGCTCGCAGGCCCGGGAGCCGCCCGCCTCTGAGGCCCGTCGCCGGGGCCGGCGGGACGGGAAGGTGGAGAGGCGAGGCGCGGGGGTCCTCGTGGAGGCCTGGAGCGCGGCCCGGTGATGGTGGGCCCCTGCTACTCCGGAGGAGAGGAGCTCCCCAGAGTAGCGTGCCCCCGGCCTGCCCCAGGCTGGCGTTTTGACATCAGCCCCAGGGAAGTGGGGCAGCTCCGATCTCATCTGATGTCCCTTAAGTGCACTTAGGATGCAGTGGGCAAAGCTTTAGACTCTTCCCCCTGTGAGGGCACTGCCTGTGCGCGGGAGCTCGGTGCAGAGAAATACGGCAGAATGATGCTGTCAGAGCAAGCCCAAAAGTGGTTTCCAACTCACGTGCAGGTCACAGTGCTTCAAGCCAAAGATCTTAAGCCTAAAGGCAAAAGTGGTACCAATGACACATACACTATCATTCAGCTGGGCAAGGAAAAGTACTCCACCTCTGTAGCCGAGAAAACTCTTGAGCCAGTCTGGAAAGAAGAGGCCTCGTTCGAGCTGCCCGGATTGCTCATGCAGGGGAATCCGGAGAAATACATCCTGTTCCTCGTAGTTATGCACAGGTCCCTGGTGGGGCTCGATAAATTTTTAGGGCAGGTGGCAATCAATCTCAATGACATCTTTGAGGACAAACAGAGAAGGAAAACAGAGTAAGTTATGTAATTTACTTTGAATTTGGGGGTGCTTAAATATATGCCAAGGAGCCCCGAGGGCGCAGTGGTGAAAGCGCGCGGCCGGGAACCAAAAGGTGGGCGGTTGGAACCCCCCAGCAGCTTCCAGGGAGAAAGATGTGGCAGTCTCCCCCTGTGAAGAGTACGGCCTTGGAAACCCTCTGGGGCGGTTCGACTCTGTCCTACTGGGTGAGTCAGAACAACTCGATGGCAATCGGTGGGTAAGTATGTCTTATTTATGGATTTTCTGTTGCAGATTATTTGTATATTTGGGGCATTGGTTTGGGGGCTGAAGTATGACCCAGGTTTAAGCACCATATTTGCCTGGACTGAAGCAAAAATAGCGCTTTGAAGAAACTTTTTTTTTTTTTTTTTTTTAATGGCATCATTAATGACCCGCTATCCTCTCATTTCCATTTGGGGTAAATATCTGTGAGATAATCATGTATTTGGCACTGGGCTTTAAGAAAATTTAACATTGTTTCCCTAGAAGAGGACTGGATCACTGTGTTGAACTACTGAAACTTTAGTTACGTGTTAATTGTTTTAATTGTCAAACATTCAAATTTTCCGTAAAATGGAACATCAGGAAATTATATCTGCCCATGTAGCATTTTGATATGAATGTTGGACTCTGAAGCTGCCAAAAGGTAAATGGTCAAATGTAAAACTCAGTGTTTAATTTCAGGATGATAAACCCAATTGGCCTTTAACTTGACCATTTTTCAGGGTCAGTACATCTTGATGGAGTCTAAAGCTGTTAAAAAAGACAGTTTTTAAAGTGTGTACAGACGTTCTCAGGGTTGAACTTACAACAGTGTTTTCCTTGGAATTTACACTTTATTGAAGCTAGTGTATTACTTCAGAATGAGTTCTGCAAAGCGGTTGTATCTAGACCATGTGCGATGTTGTCAGGTTGAAGATAATTAAATTCTTGTGATGAAATGATTTAATGACACTTTCAATGAAAACATGATCTTTTATTACTTTCAAGCTTGGGTTAGATATTTTCTCATTTTTTAAAAGAGCCATAATATAAGTTACCATCAGAATATTCTAGCTTAAAGTGGAAAATAGTGTGTTTTCAGAGATAGGTATACTCACTGCTTCCTTAGACTTATTTTTTTCTAGTCTAAGAGAACATTAAGATTAATGGAATTAATGAGAAAGAAATACAGGTTGAACTTAAATCTTCAAATTTCCAGAACAGCTGTGATATTTCTTTCAGTCAGGACTTTATTTTCTCTTAGTTTTTTTCTTTAAATAATAATAACTTTTTTAAAATTCACATTAAGTTTTTATATTTTAAATTGATTATCTCTTTGACTTTTTTATACATATCTGCCTGCAGGCTTCTTTTGATTGTGGAGGTTTTTTTTTTTTTTTTTTTTTAAATCATGTCTTTACCTAAGATGTAATGTACAGAGTAGAGGGACAGAAGACTAAGAAAGGGTAGGAATGCAAGAGGAAAAATGGTAAACATTTAAACTAACTGAGTAGACGAGAATATTTTAAGAAACAGAAGGAAAACAAATGAAAGTGGAAGTCAAATATGTATCAGTGACTTTAATAACCGAACGATTTGACACCTAAAAAGCATCATCTCACTTTTCTGTGGTTTATCAAATTTAAAATGTAAAATGAATAATTACCAAATTATTTCTATCAAATTGCGAATTGTAACTAACATGTCATCTGTAGTATTTAAAATGTGTTTAAACTTTTAAATGTATTGAAATTTCACATTTCTTACTGTATTGACAGTATTTTTAACAGTAACGAATGATGTATTGCAAGCCTTCTGTGAAATAGAAATTTTCCAAGGGAAGTCAGCCCAAGTGTGAATCCAGAGATTCTGAGGGTGAAATAACCTTTAAAGTTTTTCCTTTTCTTCTCGTCTTTGGCAGCATCATAGTCACCATAAATCTGGCTGTGAGCGGTACCCTTAGATTGGAGTCTTGACCGATAGAAATTCTGTACTGGCTGTTAAATGAAATTGACTAGCATTTTTAGGGGAGAACTACTTTTAAATACTATCAGCAGGGCTTATGATGTTACTGTATTCAAAGTGATTTTCACGTTACTCTACTCTTAACATTTTCTTCCTTTGTGGCTAAATGAGGACCACATACTTGATGAGGTATCTTTATTGGTAATATTTCTCATTTTTTAATATATTTAATAGTTTCCTTTTTCCAGCACAGCTGTACATGTGGCACGGTGAGAGGCAGGCTTGAGTCCTGGTGCGTTGCAAGAAAGAGACTTAATATTCTGCACGTTGCTGAACCTTGTCAGCGTATTCCCAAGTGCTTTATAGAAAACCGGTATGAGTGATGAAGGCCACCAGCTGATTTTGAAGTCCCATGAAAGTGCTGGTGTGACACTTTTTGCTTCTCTGACACTGAAGACAAGTATTTACAGCCTGTCTTCCAGTTATGTCATGATACGCAAAGAAGTGTGATGGCTGAAACTATTACTTCACTTTTTTTTTCTTCTTCTTTTTTGAAGGAGATGGGAAAAAGGGTCCGTGCCAGAACGCTTTGAGTGGAGCATGGAAAGAGAACTTCTGTATCTCTCACTTTAATGGGTGTCTGGATTGGTTCTGGCACGAGATTTAAGGAAATAATACAATGTTTAATAATAGAATGGTGAAATCGTTCATGCTGTTATGTAATATTGATTTTTTACAACAGAAGTGGGTGATGTTGGTTTTTATTTATTGCTCATGAAAAGTAACGATGCTCTGAGTCCCTGGAGTTAGAAATGGCGCAGACACATGGGGCAGATTCCAGGTCTGTTGCGTGTGTCTCTGCACCGCACCTGCATCCTGGCCTCTGGCACCCTCCCTGCCAGGCCTGTCCCGTTTCTGACCACACAGCACCAATTGCTTGGGAATGGTTCCCACATGTGTGGTGGTTTTTGCACATGGACCCATGCCCACTAAAAATTGAACTGAAGCCATGTACAGTTTAAATCCAGCACTCCAGAGGTGAAAAAAAAAATCAGCATTAATCCACTAAGCCCCACATGCTATGTCTTCATTTTATCTTTATGAAGCCTGGGAAAACAAGTGCTATCTCTGGAATGATGGTTGAAGGTCTCATTAAGACTTCCCCATTAGAGCCGTTCCAGACTAAAGCAGCTAAAGTTACTTGTCATGCCTACATTTTTTTTGAGTATATTTGCGAAAATTCTTTGCAACTTTTTATTTTTCTCTTGAGATGGGGGAGAGATGAGAACTATACTGAGTTTACAGTTTGCATTCAAACACTGACTTGTTTTTTTTCTTTAAGCCTTACCTAAGTATTTGGTAAGTTCCTTACTGAAACAAAAGCAAAACAAAATAACACCACACACACCCATACATACACGAGTCGTAGCCTGTGTTATGAACACAATTCTAGAAATCAAAGTTCAGTGAACATTTTTTTAGTACAAGGCAAACTGGCATCGAGGAGCTTACATGCTCGCAAAAGGAGGTGCGTGTTGCCTTCCCTGTTGGCTGTCATGTCCCCTGACTGCATACGGTGTCCTGTAATGTATGACCACTTATGTATTTAACCTTATTAACATATGTGGTTCATCAAATCAGAGGGAACTTCTCTTTTCCTGCAGATGTTACTCATCAACTTCGGAATTTTTACTTATTGACTTTAATCCAACATTGGGAAGTTACTCTCTGTGCTTTGGTTTCCTGGTCTCTGAAATAAGGGTGTTAAGTAGATGGGTTTGTTTGGTCTTATTTCTAAAAGTCTATTTATTTTTATGACCCTTCCTCCCTTCCTTTTACTGAGCTATTTGTTTTCTGAGCTTTGCTATACTTTGGTACACACATGGGGATCGTACATGCTGCTGTGTTGGTTTTTTGTTGTTTTGTTGCAAAATACATTGGCCTATTTTCTGTGTAGCCTACTGGTGACAGTGTTTGTGAGGTACCACCCTTCAGAAGTGGTTCTACCCTTGCCCCTTAAAATGGCTGTTTTCCTCAGCTAGGAGTTGATAACTGCGTGCATAACGTTGTTTCATTTCTGGACTTTGGGTGCTCGATTTTGTATCATTCAGGCTTCTCTATTCCACAGCATTTACTGCTGTCATTTCTTGTTTCTAATCCCTGTATCTTCAGAGTTCATCATTTGTCTCAGATTAGGGGTTTTCTCAGTTTAGGGACTTAGGTTAATGCTTCCTATTGTAAAATAGCCTATTCTTAAAAAAAGAAAGAAAGAAAACTTATCCTGATGTAACTAGATCTTAATTGGTTGGATTGCTCCAGTTTAGTTAACCAAGAAAATATTTTTTTCTTGTGTGTTGCTTAGGAATTTATGAGACTGGTCAGCGTAGAAGAAGACATTGTCACAGGGCTGAAATTTATTCTGAAGGTGAAATGTGTTTTTGGTACACAGCTGGACCTCAGGATTTGCAGTTTTAAGAAAAGGGATCACGGTATCCTAAAGTCACGTGAAAGGACAGTGAAAAGAGTGGGAGTCAGGAATACCCCTGGGAACTTACAGGTAGCTTCTGGTTCTAGGCTTCAGTGGAAATAGAACAGTTCCCTCTGGTTAAGTTCACTGATAATGACAGTCAGTGAGGCACCTGTATTTCTGTCCATGAAGGAAGAACTGTAACTGTAAGCACTTTCCTTACAAATCTGATTTTTCTAAGGCCATAGAGGAGCGATGGGATTCCTTCCAGCTCTAGAGGAGCCTGAACCCTGTTATAGGTGTTAGGCTCTTCTGCTGTTTGTTGTCAAGAGGTGCTAGGATAGTTCTCAGTTCTTGATAGGGATGGAATGTCATTGATTTGGTCCCATTGTTTTGCTCTGTTCTCTTTTACTGAGAATTAGTGTTAACTAGGGCCCCAGGAGCATCATTCCTGGCTCATTTATGACTTGCAGGTTTGGAAGGTTGTTTGGGAAACTCTTTTGGAAGAATATAAGCTCTGTTGCTTCCTAAAGTTTGCTGAAGATAAAGGAAGACTCTTGGAATGTGTCAAACATGTTTAAGGTAGGATCTCTGACTGGCTTGTAGATCAAAGCAAAGAAAGAAAGATGTGTTTGGGGTGTACTTTTTCAAAATGATGGAGAGTCTAAATTTTAATTCTTTAATATTATGCACCCAAGGGGCCCTGGTAGCACAGTGGTTAAGCACCCAGCTGCTAACCGTAAGATCGGCAGTTCAAACCCACCAGCTGCTCCACGGGAGAAAGATGTGGCAGTCTGCTTCTGTAAATATGACAGCCTTGGAAACCCTATGGGCAGTTCTACTCAACCTGTAGGATTGCTATGAGTCTAAATTGACCCCACAGTAGTGTTTTTTTTTTTTTTTTTTAATGTAACAGTCTTAATTAAGGAACTCTGGAATGTTTCCATAGAGTTTGGGGGTAGAGCTAGTAGAATAAAAAGGGGATCTATAGAGTTACCTTGATGTAGGTTTGTCAGTCTGATGACTGTATGCACATCCTAAATATGTTGAGATTGCAGCCCATTCCCACTGCTCTCCAGGCACCTTGGAAAGGAACGGTGGCTAAGCTGGTAGTATGTTCTAGGGCTTTTGAACACCAAGTGCCTCTGCAGCTGCTAGTGAGTTTCATCTGAGTTCCTTCCTGCATCAGGGGAGGTACTTTCAGAATTGTCCTCTTAACCTTATTCAGATACTTCTTCTTATAAGTGTAGATGCTCAGATGTATAGATTAGAGAATTATTAAGCTGCTTTAATATCCTGGAGTGGTGGGCAAGTGTTTGCCAAGTAGTCTTTTACTAAAAAAAAATCAGTGGCATAAACTGATGATAGTATACATGGGTGTTTATGTTTTCTTATTCTAAAGTAATTCTCAAAGAATGAAGTTCCAATCTCTTTAGAAGTGATCGAATACTTTGTGTAATTTTTTACATGTATCAATGTACAGTTTACCCCAGGTCTCCCACTCTAGGCCATTTATACTGTGGTTAGTTGTTCTATGTATGAGAGGCGCTTCTCCTCCCTGGAAAGACCTGGGAAGCAGTCTCCCACCTGATGGATAGTAAATCTAATCTCGTTTTGCCATACCCTGTTGGTAACAATGGGGATGAACTAATGTAAAATTAGATCAGAGTTCCTTTGTAGCTAAGAAAATTTGTTACACTTGCTTAGAGCTATATTTAAATAATAACCTGTCTGCAGGAATGAGTATTAAGCTTCATTGTTAAATAATGTGGAACATTGTAGAAATTCTTTTCTGGGCTTCATTTTGCAGGGTTTCTTTTTTTGTCGGCTGTTGGCCTGTAGAATGACCAGTGACCATGGTGACACTGACATCTGGAGAATTTCTCAGTCGTAGGTCAAAATACTAAAAAGAAAACCAAAATAAACTCCAGTTTTTATACTCATTAAAAAATGGACAGTGTAATGAGGGGGGGTGACTGAAAGCATACAGTTTAGCTCCATTTAAAGTAATTTTAATTTGATATTGTCACAGTAGCAATAGTTGAGCAAATAGAACCTAACAGAAAGCATTTAAGCTGCCCCCCCTTTTTCCGCCCATAACAAATCATAATATTTGTTGCTAGTCTTTGTCACTTCTTGCATTTTACTCCTTTTGCATGTTTTATTCAGGAAAATACTTTGAATTTAATGAATGAATCGAATGTCAATTACATCATGTGCAATTTTCATGATTGGCAAACTATGTAGTAGTCACCAATGTTGGCAAAATTCTTTTAATGCTTTTTACATAATGTTTTTGGTGGGGGCTAAAGTATTTATTATTTTATTAAAAATGTGGTCATTATTTGTCATTTATATTATTTAAAAATAACCTGTATTGATGAAGACTTCCCAAGTCTCTACCTTGGTGTCTTAATATTACAAAATGTTCTTAGGCCATTAAACTCAAAAGGAAAACTCAAAAAACTCACTGCTGTCGAGTCAGATTTGACCCAGTGACCCCTCTTTGTGCTTCGGAGGCTGTATCACTATGGAAGTAGATTGCCCAATCTGGGGAGTGGCTGGTGTGTTTGAACCGCCAGCCTTCTTGTTAGCAGTCAAATGCCTTAGGCACTAAGCTACCAGAGCTTGTACTGTAGGCCATTAGCAATGCATATTCCAGATGGAAACCTATTGGCTATGATTGTTAAGAATGTTTGATGAGTGATTTTCAAATCATAAGAGAAGGATTCTCTTGAGAACCTTTTCTTTTCAAACCTGTTTCAAACCTAAAGACATTCTTTCGGTGTACATTACATCGCAGAAACAGTGAGTAGATCTTTACACAGTGGTAAAACCAGCAGTACTCCGGCTGATGGATTTTCCTCCCTGCTTAGATTGCCCTGATGGACAGGACAGTAGCTTTGTCTGGAAAGCTGTATGTGTGTAGTAGAGTGCCATGTCTTCTCTTCAGTCCATGTTACAACCCATTTTTCTTTTTCCTTCTCTTTAAGGTGGTTTAGATTAGAATCCAAACAAGGAAAAAGAGCCAAAAGCAGGGGTGAGATAAAGGTCAGTATTCAGTTTACAAGGAACAATATGACAGCAAGTATGTTTGACTTATCAGTGAAGGACAAAACAAGATCTCCGTTTGCAAAATTGAAAGATAAGATGAAAGGTAGAAAAACTGATGGGACCTTTTCAGATACGTCTTCTGCAATCATTCCAAGTACTCATATGCCTGATGCCAGTACTGAGTTTTCCAGTGGTGAGATCCAGATGAAATCCAAACCAAAAAAGCCTTTTCTTTTGGGTCCCCAGAGACTTTCTTCAGCACATTCAATGTCTGACTTAACTGGGTCCCACGTCTCTGCTGAGAAACTGAAGTCTGGCACCATTGGTCAAACGCATCATCTTGGGCGCCAGATAGATTCCTTCGGAGCAGTTCCAGAAAGTGGTAAGTGGTGGGTTCTCATTGTACCCTCACTGATCTGAAACATGCTTAATGGTTTTTAAAGTTTAACTTCTAAAGTTGAAGAAGAAAAGTTGGATTTTCTCAGGAGTATTTTCTATGTATAATCGTACATCAAATACTTATTGAGTACCTACTGTATCCTGAACTGGTTGTTCATTGATACCAGAGTTTGTCTGTACTCATATTTAAGTTAATAGATGCTGATAAAAGGAGCCCCAACCCCTCTCATGACCTGTCTTCATTTCTTGGCTATTTCGCCTTTCTCCAAAGGCAGAAGGATGAATGAATATTCCATTTCATCAGAAAGCACCGGGAGTGTGGGTGGGGGGTGGAACTTTTATGCTCAGAAGAAAGAAGATAAATTTAATGCTAAATGATGACAAAACAAGCCTTTGACAATTTTCATGCCATTCAAAACCTCTAGTTTTGGCATCACAGTGTGCTTATGTAACTTTCTTCCTGAGCTGGGTAGATTAGTAATAGTTTAGCAACACACTAATTGTGATTAGCCTGGATACTTGAGGGTACATTGTAAAATTGTTCTCCTTGGTTATTTAGAAGGTTAATACCTTGAAATGGGTAGTTGCTCTCCTTGTAAAAGCAGAACCAGTGTGCACACTGAACGTGTCAGGGTGTGATGTAACGTGTCAGTGATGATGTGTCACCACAAAATTGTTTGCAGGAAGTCTCAAATCACCACACAGACGAACGTTAAGCTTTGATACTTCTAAAGTGAACCAGCCTGACACCAGTGTGGATGAAGGTGAATCGTCCTTCGGAAGACAAAATGACCCATTTACAAATGTGACCGCTTCATTACCCCAGAAATTTGCAACACTGCCAAGGAAGAAAAACCCATTTGAGGAAAGCAGTGAATCGTGGGACAGCAGTGTGAATTTATTCTCAAAATCAGTTGAAGTAAGAAAAGAAACTAAAAGAGAAAAAAGGGAGAAAGTGAGCCTGTTTGAAAGAGTCACTGGGAAGAAGGACAACAGAAGGTCTGACAAGCCCAACGATGGGGGGTCAGGTAGCCCTTGTGACTTGAAATCCCCTAATGCATTCGGTGGAAGTCCGCAGGACTGTTTTGATTACGAGTCAACCAATCCGTTTACAGCAAAATTCAGGGCTCCAAATATAATGCCATCTTCAAGGTAAGCTCAACATGGGGAAATTGTGCTCTTTTGGGAAATAATTGTACTTGAAGTATCAAATATCTTTTAAATACATGACTATTTTTATTTTACTTGAAAAAGAATTCTTCTTGCTTTATTTTCATAATAAACTAGGGAGCCAGGTAATATAGCATATATCACTAATTGAACTTTTTATTTAGAAGTGTATAGAATTCTTATTCCTGATCCTAGATGATGTCTGCTATGTGAGTCAAAATCCTACCAACTCTCAAGAAGATAGTGGCATAGCTTTTGATGAGAGTTGGTGAGAATGAATTACCAGTCAGTGTTAATTCAAGCCAGAAATGTAGATATGTTGTATTTATGATGATTTTTTTTCCCAGGGATTAGCTCATGGGCTACGTGGAGAGGATTAGTGGAGCAGTGGTAGCTCATGGAAATACTGGCTTAAGTTTTCATTTTCCTAAGGAGCTCTGGTGGTGTAATGATTAAGGCATTCGGCCACTAACCAGCAGGTCGGTGGCTTGAACCCACCAGCCACTCCATGGAAGAAAGAGGAGGCATTCTGCTTCTGTAAAGATTTACAGCCTTGGAAACCCACTGGAGTCACTATGAGTCAGAATCGACTTGATAGCAGTGAGTTTGGGTTTTTTAATAGGGATTGACTGTCCTTATTAAATGGCTGCATTAATATTTGTGAATATTAATTGGAATTCATCGACCTTTGTGAGTATAAACACACCAAAAAGTATCTCTGATTTATAGTCAGATGTGATCATTATTGGGATAAATACTGGATTTTCAAACTATAGCTTCTCAGTTACATATACGGTAATCCTGTCCTTACTGTTGTGTATGCATTTAAATAAGTGAACAATGGAATAGCTAATTAAAGAAACCTTAAGAAGGGAGCTCGGTAGCATAGTGGCTAAGGCACTTGACTGCTAACCAGAAGGCTGGCGGTTCAA